TAATTTATTCGAAAAAGCAACGATAATTAATTTGTCTCTTAGGAGAAATTTTTGCTCTTATTTATATCTCAATATATACCTGGAAGTGATTTCGTCAATAACGAAGAAAGTTTTTGCATATCGAACATCGAATTTTTACAATGTTTCTACTTGTAATTGATATATAAGGGGCAATAGTTTTGTGATACTTAAAGCAGGGGAGTTAATAAAATATTTTATCTTGTGTTTCTTTATGTATCTCAGCACATCAGCTATTCTGTAAAAAATTCTGTATCCAATTACGATAAGATGTACTGGCACTCAAGGTGTCTGTTCGTTTTTATTGTAAAATTCATTTCTAACGTAAATTTTGACGATCGAATTATAAGGTATATAGTAAGAAATAACTATAACTGAATCACTGTAATTAATAAAATACTGTAAGAATTACGGTATAGAATTGAACGAAAATTTTAAATTAAAAATAGACTTCACATTAAAAGTGATTTTGAGGATGCTGCATTCAGGGTGACAGAACTTTTTACCGTAATTTGATTTAGAAATCTTTACAAAATGTACAAAATGGTGGCGTTTTACAAAAATGTTTGCTTCGAAACTCCATTGCTGATGTAGTCCCGAATTTCATTTATTATTTTACTACTGCCGGCAGGTTCTCAACACAATACATAGCTGTTAAAGTTCAAAACTACGACTTTATATGAAGAGAAAAACAAGTTAGTATTTTAGTTTCCTTGAAATATAATGAAGATAATTCTATGTAATGTCTAAAAGAATATGTTTGAACAAAACAAAATTGCGACTGTAAATTGTGTGATTAATTGTGTAATTTTATCGAGAACTTTAAAGAATTAAAACCTCTAAAGGAAGAAAACTGAGAATTTCCTTTAAAAAAAAAGTGAAAGATCACATCGGTGTTTGAACTTTATCTATTTCATTTTTTTTGAAAATTCTTTTTATAGATATTACATGCGTAATAGTTTACTCTATGTATATAGTATAGCTATAAAAATAATGCATAATTTATAAAGAATATAGAATTGATGAAGAATGTATATTTCATTAAGAATATGTAAATAGAAATATAAAATGTTAAAGAATAAATGAAGAATTTTTACTTTATTAGAAAAAAATAAGTTTCTCATTATTATTTTCTGTAAAATTTCAGATAATTCAGAAAGTTTCTTTACAAAAAATAAATTTGAAATTTGTTTGATGGTTAATCATGTTACTGACGATAATTAATAACTTAATGAAGATTAAAATTTAAAAGTTTTTCAGATGAATTTCTGAGAATAGAAGTTTTTACAAACATTTCTCCAATAATGCTGCACAATAGCATTTAAAAATATTAGGATTAAATTTAATTTTAGATTTTAAAGTTGTGTTACTTTTCAAGACGAAAGAAAATTCATATAGTACTGAATTTCTTAATTTTAGAGTTTTTGCAAATATTTCTGATTAAATCAATTATTAAGCTTTTCATTACTGTTTCAAATAATCATTATTTTTTCTTCTCAGACAATTTTTTGACATTCACCATGATTCATATGTTCCTTGATCACTCATTAATAAATAAAAAAATAAATTATCTATCACAATGTCGTAATTTAAAATGAAAATAATTTTTTTCCGCTAAATACTAAAAAATAGCTGTCTAAAAACAGATGCATTTTTATTAAGAGCTAATCGTCTTCATATCCTGCTTAGCAACACTTAATTATCTTTTCTTATTACGGAAAAAATACTTTACTCATTGGATCGGATAAAATGTTTAATAAATGATTATTTAAATATTTTTTACCATTGCCTTTAAAAAATGATTTGGTAAAGAAAATAAAAAGTTAATATCCTTCTCAATTTTAATTGCGAACGAAAATTTTTTGTACAGGAAAAATCAGAAATTGTTAAAAATTCAAACTTAAGTCACCTACCATATTCTTACTTAGCTCAAACTTTTTTTGGAAAATTACGATTCTTTTATCTCGTATCTTTGAATTACCTTTAGTTTATTTGATATTTTTACTAATTATTTTACACTATAGAGGTTAAAGCAAATTATTATGCTTTTTTCTCCTTTGCAATTTTTTTAACTGTATGATTAGTTATCCTAATTTTGACGCATATTTTAATTTATTGCATTTCGGTAAGCTTGCCTTCGGTTTTCTTCTTTTTTTGACGATTACATTCAATATTCTTTTTTTTGTTTCGAAGCATAGACACATTATAAGGAGCATTTTTATCTTAGGATAATTATTCTTTATTTCTTTTAAAATGACTCTTGCAAAGAATTGTGTCCTGACGATAGCCTTTACGTTTTATTCATAAAAATTTATCCTTATTTTGCCATGTTTGTATATATATATATTTGCGTAATTGTGAATTGTGATTTTTTATTTATTTCTTAATTCAAATTTAAATATCATATTAATAAGAGAATCTGGCTTAATAATTAAATCGTTGAATATCCAATAAAATAACTCATTATCATTGGAGGAATTTTGTGGAAAAAATGCTTGACACTTACTTCCGAAATAATTTGAATGTTAACAAAATTTAAACCCACTGGTGCAAAATATTAGTCACAAGATTATGAAAAATATAGTTACTGAGGACGCTTTAATGGGTGCTATAATATCATTGCGTCTGTGAAAGCAAAAAAAAGGGCATAGCACGAGATTGTCTTCATATTCTGAAAAAGTCACTAAAATGGGGGCACTTATAAATGTGTGAACTATATTCCTTTAAACAATATAAGAAAAGTAGTTTGAATAAGATATGTCGTTCTGTTTTCCCAAATTTTCGGTCGTCATGAATAACATTTATAAGTTAGATATGCTAAATTTAATAAAATATATTGACGTTGTCTTAACAATATACTCTTTTTTTGAAAACCTAGATATCCCACTCCGATCATATCACAGACAAAAAGAACCTTATGTAAGCTCTAGAGCAAGAAACAACAATTGTTTTATTTTTAAAAAATACGTTAATTAAAAAGAAAACAGTCACAAATTCGCACTTTCAGAACTTATAAATATCTACATGTAATTACAGAATCGCAGATCACACGAAATAATAATAGTATAATATATTTGGCTCTGTAAGTTGGCTTTATTTATAGTTAATGAACTTAAAACGAAATTTATAGAAGATTAAAACAAAAAAGTTCAATTTTTATACAAATAATCTTCAAATGTTAACAAAGTATTGGTTATATTAATTGAAATCTGCGTAGAAAAGCTTTAAAAACATATTAATTACTTATAAAGTTCTAGCTGAAAGCATGGTTTGTATTTGCTTATATTTTAAATATTCTTTGAGAAGAAATTTAGATTTTTTAAATTGAATTTCTGCAAATTAAAATTTTCAAATACCTATAAGCAACTTAATTTTAAAATTAAGTTGCTTATAGGTATTTGAAAACATTTAAGTGGTTATGGTAGTCGTATAAAGTTATTGTTACTTTGTTACCGAAACTTGTTACTTTTTCTCCAAAAAATTCTTATAAAATTAAAGCTTAATTATATTTATCCAATTGCTAAAGTATTGAATTAAGGTATTGAGTTAATCAAATGCTTTGAAAAAAGTTTATGACAATAAAACAAAAACAGACGCACAAGGAAAATTTTAAAGTTACTAGAACATTGAAAAATTCCATGATCTGTTCAAAGCAATTTTGACAACGAGAACTGAATATTAATATATAGATATTCGAAATGGAAGCTTTTTTTTGTCGCTCTGTAAGAAACATTTAATTTGGACACGATAGGTTGTATATAACTTAATAAATGCAAACTTTTTTAATATTTAAAAAAAACAAGTAATATAACAATGATGATTCCCCAAAATACATTCCAAAATCTGAAATTCTCACAAAAAAAAAAAAATTATGGAGCATTGAAAAAAAAGTATGATCTAAACTACTAGAAAGTAAAAACTGTTGCTGACCCTATGGAAACATCAAAAATCATGGTAATTTTTACCAAAGCAATTCGGTAATGGCGTTTAGTAAAATTAATAATAACATTAGTTTTCATCGCCATGTTGTTTAGGAGTAAATTCGATAAAATTTGGTAATTTCATCGCTTTTTCTGCAATATGGCGCAAAAACCATTTATTTGGTTAAATTTAAGCTCCAGTTTTATACTTTTTTCTAAAAATGTGATTATAAGAGGCATAACTTTGAAAATTTGAAAACCAGAATTCCCACTAAACCGTTACCATCAAACTGAGAAATTACCAAATTAATAGTCAAAACACCATATATTTTTAGTACCAGAATTATGTTCTTTTTTTACTAAAAGAAGTATAACTATAAAAGTACAGTAATTTTACCAAAGATTTGCTTTTCAGCATAAGGGGATTTGGTTCTCTAACGTAGGAGTTTATCCATCATAATTAGATGACACCGGGCTAATAGGTTACCTAATCCTATCTGGAAAGAAAATATGTAATTCAAAGAAAATGGTGTAGATATATCAACAATGCCCTTCCTGCTTTTTTGCAAAGCATTGCCAAGTCAGATTGTAGCAGATCTACAAAGATAGAATTTAAACCTTCTTCATTATCTCTAAATTTACTTTATCTAGCTTCAACTGACTGTCTGTTTTTTCTAACTTTGGGCAATTTCTTAATAAAAAAATCCTATGAATTCCGAAAATACTTCGAAACTGAATTTTCGAGAATTCGTTGATTCTCTTTTTATTACAAACTCTCGTTTTCATGGCAAAATGGTAGAAAAAAGTATGAAGCCATTTCTTAATAGATGAAGTGGTTCCTGTAAGCTCTCAACAAACTTCCTCTTTAAACAAACAAATTTCATACTTGAGGAACAGGTGTGTAATGGTTCATGTGTAAATATTGATTCATAGAAACCGGGAAAAACTAAGAAATATATTCATGTATAATAAATTGTGCATGAATGAAGTACGCATTTATTCCAAATTGCCCTACAAGAAAATTAAAAAATAAAATATATATATATTTTATAGTATACTTACAATTAGATATTAATCCAAATATTATCACCACAAATAAACAATGCGGGACGCATTGTTTAAAACCTATATCCAGTACCATGCTTGAAATTTAGCATTCCAATATTCTCAATGGTTATTTTAGTTAAGTCTATCCAAAAGACAAATTGTCATTTCATTATTTTTCTTTATATCAGGAAAAATTCTATAACTTTTTATTGATTAAATTTTTAGATGCATTAATTAACCCATTTTAATCACAATGAGATATTCAATAAGTTTTAACTTTCTAATAGTATTTGGAGTACATAATCACATTAAAAAAAGAGTTTGTATATTGTACGACTAAAGTTTTATATCATATATGTGCGTTGGATATTTCTTTCTTAAATATCCACGAACGAACTTTAACCCAACATCTCTAGTTCACGAACAACCACACAGCGCAGCGAAACCGATAAGAAGTTACAGACAACTGTGATTCTCATTAAGTTCTGCTTCGATCAGCATCGGTGTGAAAAATGATGCTGAAGAGCTGGTCCAAACGCCTGGAAGATTTCTGATGAACAGAAGCAGTCAGCGACTGCACGTGCTTGTATGGTCGATTCTGAGACACAGAGAGTCTGCGCAAAAGATGATCACCGGTCGAAGCTTTGCCGACTTGAGTGGGATTTGTTTTAAGGGGGTTCTCTAGTGTTTGGACTTTATTTAACCCCGACCTTTTATCCACATTTTATGTTAAATTGATAGAAACAAATACTTTCTTCATCAAAAAAAATATACATTTTTTACAGTAAATCTGATTTATATTTTCACAGCACATATTAAAAGTAAATTGTAAAATTTAAAATATAATAGAAGAAATATTTAGAGAATATTCATCACTAAATCGTAATTATATATATACGTTACATTACGTGACTATAATATTGAAATATAAAGTTTAAATATAACTTGTGCATAATGATCTGATTCATAAAATGATACTTCTAACTCATTTTAGTCGTGGAACTATTGGGAAATCACCGAAAAAAGTTATGTTTATTCAGATAAATTGCTTTTTCGTGTCTTCAAAATATCGTCTTAAAAATTTATTGGTATATTTTTAGGTTACCTCTTTGAACCATTAACATTGAGTCTTAGTTAGTGAAGATCAGATCGTTAGATCAAAAGTTATCTTGTATGGTATGTTTTTCTTTTCTTTTCTATTTTTTTGCTCACAGCATAGCAAGTTTTTACATATTTTTTTGGACTCCAAAACTGATTTTTCAAATATTTGAAATAAACGTGTTTAAAAATTTCATCTATTTCCCAAAACGTACAGGTTTAGAACCAATTGTTCTGTTCAAAACTTAATTAATTAATCTCACCGCATTCGTTCAACCTATACTTTAAATAAATATAATTCGTTTTAAGTAAAACTAATTAAAAATTGTACAGCCCGTTTATTAACTTTTTTAAGATTTTTAAATCGGAGACCTAATATCAGTTCAACTGGGAAAGTGCCTGGTTTTGGTATTTTTAAAAATATTGTTTTCTCTGACAAAAATTCAACTCTTAAGTACTGTTCAAAATTTTTAACTTGAAATAAACCTAAAATAGTTATGAAAATGAATGATAAATATTTATTTTACTTGGAGTTTTAAAAATATGAAAATATTAAGCGAGAACACTATAACTTCAGTTCAGCATTCATAATCTTCCAGACAATCGTCAAAGTGCTTTGTTTAGAGAGCTTTTATGTTTAACTTTAACTTCCGCAACTTTGATATTTTATGTGGGAAGGAAAACTCTTGATAATTCAAATGAATTTTTTTTTCCTATTTAAAAATACCTTAAATATAAAAATAAAAACTTTAAATTACGATTCTTTTTCTTTGAAATGAGTTCAAAACTAAATTTTCCTCATTTAGAAATAAGCTTTCAGACATTACAAATGAAAAGACTTAAGCATATTTGTCTTGAATAAAAAGTATTATTTCACGATCACAAAGAACTCGCCGATGCTTTGAAAATTAATAAAATTTAAAGAGTATATTCGCAAACTTTCAGTTTGTACTTAAGTATTTATAAACAAAATGTTCTTTTTCTTTTCCAGTTTATAAATAAAAAAGGAATACCTCTATTTAAAGAGATTATGAAAAAGTTTTATGAGTAAATTTATGAGTAGTTTCAAAATCCTGAGAAATGTGAGTGTAGTTGCTATGAGTACGAATTTAGATATTTATATAATGTGTCTCTAACTAAAAATCTATATTTTGGATGCTTCGCTTTTGATGCGATGATAAAGAATATGTTTTAATATGTGTTTGATTTTCTTAACTATGCATTATGTGATTTAATGACCTAATTTTTAGCAATTTAATTAATCTAAAAGTATTTATTTTACTACTTAAGGTGCACTTTTCGAGTGCTAACGTAAGGCAAACAATCTGAATAATACATAATATAAAAATATAACACATTAAATAATCCTGACAAATTAGATTCGACTTTCTCTTTCAATGGTTCTGGTAGTTATTTTTAGTTATGTCATTTTTTTGTGCATTTGGCATTTGAAGTAACGAAAACCTTTACAAAAAATATATTTTAACTTTATAAATATGCTTTTGTTTAACTTCCTTTTTTATTTAACTTTTTTTTATTGAACTTCACTTTTTGAGTATTTTGCTATATTTCTAGAACTAATAAGATTAACCAAAAACAAGAATAAAAGAAATCTTGTATTTGGTTGTAGAAAAAGTATTGATCAAAATTTATTTCATGTGAAACGTTTTATTTTTTTTAAATAATTTGCTCAATTTTTATAGACTTTATGAACGTTCAAAAAATTTTTGATCGTAAAATATACAGACATTTTTCTAAATGAATCTGAAACAGATGCAATTTGCTAAAATGATTGCAATTTAAAGAGATAAAAAATCCAAAAAATGAACAAAATTGACTGATCGGTGTATGATTAACAAGATTACAAAATATTTTCTTTTTATTTTGTTTTATTATTGTTCAAAAAATATTTGGAATATTTTTTTTTCAAAATGTTGATTTTTATTTTGACGTATAAATTTTAAATTGACTTAATCATTTGAGTATTTTTGAATTAAAAAAAAACTGTCAAATAATAAATTTAAAAATACAAACTAAAAGCTGTTTAAAAAAAATGAAATATTGGTTCAAATTACCCATTGTTAAATATTTTTCCCAAATTATGCAAATTTTTTCTATTTCAATTAAATATTTCCCGAGATAGAGAAAAGACACTAAAATTCAGTAACCATTGAAAGACCTGAACTAAGGAATGCTCTCCGAAAATGCATCCTTATACAATATTGTGTCAAATTTAGTAACTAAAGGATACCTGCACTAAATAAAGTGCATATTTGAAGCTAATATTTGGTAAAATTAAGATCGACTTTTAGTAATTGTAAGATTTTTAGCTGCTGTTCCTTATCCATTTTGTGTAGGCTTTTAAATCAAGTTCAAACGATCAACAAGTCACCAACAACTCTCCCCTTCACTCAAAAGGTACCTATACAATCAAGGAAATGAGAGGAAGATGCAATTGCTTAATAGTAAAAATTGGCATATTTCTTCTGAATTCCGTGGAACTTTTTTTATGTAGCCAGTTCGTTCTAAGTTTAGATATAGCAGTTTCAGTAAATATGGAACAGGAGAAGTGCAAACTCAATCCAGGGCGCATTGTGGCGTAAAAAAAACATAAACTGGAAAAATCCACCAATCAGTATTTATTTTAGCCTAAAACAAGGAGTTAGCCACAGAACCTTGAAATTTGAGTAAAGGGGTCATAAAAGTTCACTACCCCCCAGCAAACAGATAAGCTCTTTTGTTTCCATAAACCAACACAGGATAGAATGTACTGCAGGCCCACAAGGCTGATCTAGACCAATCCAATTTCGAAGAGAATTTTTTCCTAAAATTTCCAGGTTGCAAGGCCAATTCCTCAACTATTGAATTGAACCATTGCTATTAATCTATAACCATATATCAGGTACGCTAGAGACCAAAAGACTCAAAGCATTTTTTATAGCTTATGACCAATGCTCGAGAAAGTCTAGTTGTAATGACCTCGAATTCCAATATACTTTGCTACTCTGGATTTCCTTTGTGTCTGCTGCCCATTATGCCTGCTCATTTGAAAGTATACATTAAAAGTAGCATTACTAAATGATGTGATGGGTTTAAAAAAATTTAAAAGAGAACTGAGTTCAACCTCTTTGCCAATCAAACCCTGCCTCCATATTATCTCAACAAAGCTTTCTTAATCAATGTTAATATCGTCAATTAAATTAAAAATGTACCATTCTATTATAGGGAGCAAATTTTTTAACTTGGCAATGTACTTACTTAGCAAACTTCGAAAATCACTTATGCTTGCTATTAAATACATATAAACGGTACTTTTTTATATAAATTTTATTTAAAAAAAACTGACAGGAAAGACCATAAAAATAAAATGAAGTAAAAAATCTCGTTTCGCATTATAACATAAACTTTCAGACTTTTATCAAGAACAATTTAACTTAATTTCTTTGAAGGAGAGTTTACTTCAAAGAGGAAAAAAATCACATGACTTCATTTAAAGAATCAAAGGCAATCGACAGTTTTCTCTCTATAAGACGAAAAACAAAAAAGAAGCTAATCAAGTGCAGCATTAATCTAGAAATCGTGTTTATGGAATAATTTTAAACTTTTTGTCATTGACAGTTTCTTTGATTCTCGGAGTGAAAATTTTGTGACTTTTTTACGTATCGTTGAGTTTTGAAGATTTTTTTCTTAATATAAATTGTGTTTTTGAAAATTGTTCTGAGCTTTTGAAAATCAGTGAAATACATAATATTAAAAATGAAGTTTTGGTCTTTATTTAAAACCAGTAGCAAATATTTTAGAAGAGTATTTAAGACTTCTATCAAATAATATGAGGTTCACCAATGTTAGGACGAGTATATATATATATATATATATTTATATACGAAATACCATAGTACTTTTGTTCTCAATCATAAAAAATACATAAAATGCAATTTCTATTTGTCGTTGCGTGGTGGAATCACTCCAATGCTTTAAATACAATCACATTACAATTTTCAATTTGATTGCAATTCAAATTTAAATTAATTTAAATAATAGGTAATTGGTTTTTCAAAAAGCACAATAAAAGTACATTTCTGTGCCGTATTCAAAGAGGGTCAGAAAAATTTTTCAAATTGTTGTAACAAATCAAATTCGAATTTATTTAAGCATAGTATCTTCAAATTAATTTAAAAATTAATTATCAGAAATTAGATGTATTTAATTCAGCTTGGCTTCACAATTTCCATGATAGAGCAAAACATATTTACAATCATATTTTATAATAATTTTTCTACGAGTGCTAAAATGTAAAGAAAAGTCTTAAATTAAGCATTATTTTACAGTGTTCATTTACAAATGATTAGCAACACATTAAAAAAGAAACTAATTTTAAAAACTACTTTTTGATACATTCAGTTTTAATAATCACACAAAAAAATCTTGATAAAATTCTCTAGTAACATGCAAACTTTTAGAGCCCTTTCACTCAAATGCTTATGAAACTTGCAACAAATTCAAAGAATTAGCAGAAATTATTGATTTTTATTCTTGTTATTATTACTGATAGTGGTACGAATAAATCCCCAAATTTACAAAACAAAAAATATAAAGTGATAATATCGTCAAAAATTAGCATTTTGTGTGACA